TAATTTATTTTAAATTTTAGTTATATATAATCGACATTTAATTTATCAATTACACAAGATAAAATATTAATTATAAAAAACTTACACTTTTTTTGTTTTATCATAAATTTACACTTTTGTTATTATTAAAAAAATATTAAATATTATATTCTTTTAATGATTTTAAGTGAAACTCATTTTAAATTTAATTTTTAATAATTTAACTAATAGGAGCAAATATATTAAACAAATACTAATAGTTAAGTTTTTTTTCCTCTATAAAAATTACAATAATAATGATAAAGTTCAAGTTTAAAACATTAGAATTCAAATTTGAAATTATGCATATACTAACTTAATTCTAACCACTAAGTAATTCATATTAATAATTATAAGTACATATTTGAAATACTTTTTTTCACTATTTCAAATGTTTTTCTTATGAAAAAATTTTCTAGGAAATAACTTTATAGATACATTCATTATTAAAAAAAAATCTAAAAATTAAGCTATTTTCATATAACTAAAAATATAAAATTTGTAATTATTTTCTAACATTTTTCCTCTTTCACTATATAGATACATTCATACTATCTACAAACAAACAAAATCAAATATTTCAAAATTACTTTCCAATAAATTTATCTCAACAAAATCTCTTTCATATTATAATCAACTATACATTTTCACAGTCCTCTCGAACATACTATAAATAAAAAAATAAAAATAAAAAAATTACACAGAGGATAAACTCGAAGCACAGTCATCCTCATCGTCTTCGACTTCGTCGACGTCGAATTCCTTAACGTCGAGCCGTGTTCGGCTATCACAGTAAAACACAGTCGTAGCAACGTAACTAAGGAGCACCATCAACGCATACCAACACATCAAAACAAAAACAACCTTATCCCAAACACCAACCTCATTATTCTCCAGCAACACTTCCATCTTCCCATTAATAAACCCCGAAACCCAAACGAAAAAGCCCGCCAGAACCCACCCGCTAAACTTCCTCCCATTCATTAAACCCGACCCGACCCGAATAGCCTCCCACCCGGCCCACCCTTCCGAGATGGAAGCCACCAGGCCCAGGCCCAGCACTGCCTTCAGATACACCTCCGCTCCCAACCCGATTGCCCGAATCACGACCCGAACCCACTGACCCGACCCGAACGTCGCTGAGAGGACACGTGGCACGGGGGCGTACGCCATTAAGATGATGTAAACGAAGATAACGGTGACGGCGGGGCGCTTCCAGGTGCCGCCCATTCGGGCGGCGGAGCACACGGCGGCGGAGGCGGGCTTGCCGTGCACGGCGGCGACGGCGGCGTGGACGGAGGCGACGGCGGCGGCGAGGGAGAGCGGGAAGGTGAGGAGGGAGAAGAGCGCGCGCGTGCGGAGGAGATAATTGGCGTCGTGGCGGGGCAATTTAAATTCATTCATGAATTTCATAAAAGAAAGTAAAATAAAATTTCATACTTTAAAAATTGAGAATATTGAAATTCTACGTTGAAATACATGAAGGTAACATGCGCAGTCACAAATTCCAAAATTTGATTAAAAGGAAAAATCAATTATTTCCAATTTGAAATATTAATTTCTACGTTGAAATACATAAGGGTAGAATGCGCAGTCACGAATTCCAAAATTTGATCAAAAGGAAAAAATCAATTCTTTCCAATTTGAAATATTAATTCATGCATTTCAAAAAAGGAAACTTTCTTTCAATCACTCGATTTCATGAAAATAATTCTTTTGCGATTGCCATTAGCATTTCGATAATGTGGGATTTAATGTATTGATCATAATTCAAAATTAAGAATTTCATTCATGATCCAAACAAACAACATGCAGCGAAAAATTAAATCATAATTCCTAATTTATAAAATTAGGGTTCATATGAATTGGGATTTATATGTATATAATTGTCCCAAACATCATTAAACATTGCAATAATGACCTTGATAAAATTATTCCACTTCCGGTGGTACTCAAAGGATCAAATATAATATTTATATCATATTTGTTTCTTTATCTATCCTTTTCTTTTTCACTTTTCATATTATTTTTCCACTTCCGGTAAGAAAAATATTCTTTTCTTTTCATTATCGTACAATTATCTCACTTCTGGTGAGAAAATATCATTTTATTTTTCATTGTTGCACAATTATCTCACTTCCGGTGAGAAAAAAAAATTGCTTGAAATTTCTTAATTTGACAATGTCTTCTGGATCATTGCAAAATCGTTATATATGTATATATAACATTCATGGAGAATTATATAATTTTACAACACATATCATTCATGGAGGATCATTCAATTTCAAAACCTGGCTCTGATACCACATGTAAGTTCTATGATTTTCTAATACATCAATTATAGAAAATTAAAGGATCTTTGAAATTCATGATACTCACATAATAATAAGAAAGTGTGTACCTTTCTCCATAGTAGAAAACTCCTTGGATCCTTAGAGTGCTTTGATCTTCTTGAGAAGAGAACCAAGATTTCACTC